CAGGTAAAGGAGATAATGGAAATACATGGTAACAGAAGTGCAGTGGAATTCAGCATTGAATGAAAGCAAGTCACTATCTACACTAGACAGTAACTGAGCTCGCAACTCGTGCAGCACTCTGGATTCAAAGACAGCCAATACCATCACACCTGTGTTCCACTGCGGCACCAGGGTTTCTTGTCGATCTGTTTCTTGATGGGCTCGCTCTCACCAGTAAGGCTGGCCTCGTCAATCACCAAGTCGTTTGAGGCAAAGACCACCCCATCGGCGGTGACCTTGTCACCCGTGTTCAGGATCAGAACATCCCCCACTACGAGTTCAGTGTTCAACACGAGACCCTCCTTGCCCCCGCGAATCACCGTGACCTCAAACATCTCCTTCTGCTCATTCAGCTTGCGAAACTGCTGGTCCTTTTGATAGTCGTTTACGGCACCTGGCATCGCTCAAGCAAAACAATCAGACCCGTCTACAAGAGCTGCCTCCACCTGCTTACAGGCCAAGGCCTGGTACCAAAAGAATCTTATCACACCAATATGCAGTTCCAAGAGACTCCTTTTGCACAGCAATACAGGAAAAAAGGAAGAGAGGAGAAGGGGGCTGCTGCTGTTGCACTGGTTCAATTCTCTAGCCTTCCAAGTAGCCCAGCAACGCTACAGGTTTTCAGCACAACTGGGGTTCACTGCTATGCAGATGTGTCAGCAAAGGCATACGGACACACACAAATGAATTGTGCGCAGCAAATGAAATGCACCCAACAGTCTTTTTCGATGTCCTGCAGTACACAGCATGGAGTCCGTGTGAAGTCTGTGACAGGGTGTTCCCCCCTGCAGGCAGGTGAGCAAGTCAAAGACTCCAAAGAGGAGCTGTAACTGGGCACTCACCAACAAGAGAAACCACGAAAACAGCCACCCAGATGGCAATTCCCTCAACGTATCCCCCTTCCTCGCGCTCTTCCTTCAGGGAGGCGCCAAGAATTGTGGACACCTGGCAGGAAGCACAACATGTTAAATCGACAGAGAGTGCCTGAAGAGCCAGCGCACATCAGAAATCAGCAGGGCAGGCACTCCTCCACACGCCAGGGAGCTGCTTGTTTGCTCACCACAGATGAAACGATGGATTCAAGCACTGAAACAAACTGCGGATTGAGTCAAACGCATCTTCAACACAGATCCAGGCAATGCAGATGAGGCGATCCCCTTGCCAATAAACCCTCCACCACAATTCAGTACACTTTCGCGACTTGACGACAGCCAGGCGCGACGCCGCAAGAGCCCCTCCCTCCCCCCCCCCGGCATACCAGGGCGGCGAAAATCAGCAGCATGATGATCGGGTCCTTGATGTTATCGAGCACCAGGGCGATGAACGACTTGGACGGCACCTCCTTGTAGCTGTTGGCCCCGAACACCTGCCTGTGCATCTCTACGGACGCCGGCCCGCTCCCCCCCGCGTCCAGCCCGTGCCTCAGGTCCGTCTTCAGAGCGGCCGCCAGGCCCTCCGCGCCCCCTATGCGCGGCGGCTCACCTCGTTGATGCGGAAGAGCCTGTCGGGGTCCACGCCGTAAACGCCCTTGCCGTCCACTGCCACCGCGGTGGCGCCATCCCCCGCCGGCTTCCCCTCGGCCTTCATCCCGCCCCACCGCTCGCCGCCGCGGGCAGATCACCTCAAGGCCGCTCCGCGGCGACCCAGGAGACCCAGCCCGGGCGAAGGATCCGACTCCGGGCTGCGACCGCCGCTTGGCAGGGCAGCGGGAGAGGCTGGGCCCACTCCAGTCGCGCCCCGAGAATCCCCCCGAGATCCCGGCCGCGGACGCCTGACGGTCCCCCGCGCAGGAGTCGTCAAAACTTCCGGGCGCGGGAGGTGCGCCGGTCAGGCCGCCCGGGCACCACACCTCCGGTCGGGTTCAGAGCCCCGGCGAGAGATCCGCGCCGGCCCAGGGCGAGGGGTTGCGGTTCTGGGAAGGTTTGGGTGGTGGGAGGTGGGTGGGTGGGGTTGATGGGGAGACGCGCGGCGAGGCGCGAGAGTTTGGACCGCCCGCGCAGTTCTGGCGACATTCATCCAACGCGGGGTTGCTGCGCCCGGCGCCTCCACACCAGGGGGCCCAGGGGGGCCGCTGCACTTTTGGGATGATGCATCACTAACGGATCGGTGACACATGGGCGCGGCATATTCGGGGGCCCAAGGTGTGGGCAAGGCCGCTCTCATGGGCCAGAACAGATACCGCGCACCCAGTCGGATTCGAGCCCCAGTGACTGGAAAAGCCGCTGGGGTTGAAGCCTCCCAGCCACACACGGGGTCCGCCGTCCGCGTGTGACGTGAGCGTGCAGGACAGCGGGGGCCCACGTGGGACGCCCAAGCGCCTCTGTCGGACAACCGCAACGCCCCCTTGTGCAAAACAAGGCGCGAGAGGGGGGAATCACGGAGACATGCCATGAGCGTGAGTGTGCCAAAAAGGGGAAGCAAGCCCGAAGGTGTGGCGTGGTGGGCCGCTGTGTGTTGGGGGGGGGGGGGGCTGGCGCTGCGGGCCCCGGACTGTGTTCGTGGGGTGGCAGCGGGTTTGGTGGAAGGTGTACTGCTCCGCGCGAGGGCGCTGTGTTCTCGATGGTTTCTGGGTGGACGGGGGCCGCGGCGCGCTGCGTCCCAGCAGCAAACAGCGACGCGGAGCGGCTTGGAAAGTTGTGAAGGTGCCTTGGGGCAAAGATGTTACCGCTTCACTTGCAGCGGGCCACAGGGCGTTGGCGGCAAATCCAAGAGGGGGGCTGGAGCGTTGTAGGACTTTAGAGAGGGCATGTGGGGTTGTTGTAGTTGTTGGACTTGGGGAGAAGTGAGCAGGTTGGTTAGGTTGTTGGGCTGCCATATCGACCTTTAGGACCAATCTATTCGGACAGGCGTCCATCAAATCAGTCTTCCATCAGTTCGGGACCATCGGCTGCCAGTGTAGGACGAACTGCAGGAAAGGGCTGCGGTCGGATCGTCAGTGCATCTGCGCATATGCATGTGCACAACACACGCCACGAATTCACGTATGCGTGCCAATCGTGTCTGTGCCTGTTCCCTTGCGTTTTCTTGCCCCTTGACACTCATGAAGGGAGGCAACAAAATACAAGGGCAAGGTCCTGCATGTCGCCTCCCACCTCCAGCGACAACCAGCACGAAAGAATAGACAACTCTGGCCTGCATCCTCTCCGTCTACGTCCCAATTTTCCCGGTCAGGGATGACTCTTGCGACCCCCCAACACCTGCCTAAGACAACACCTGAGACGGCCGCCATCTACCTGCCTTCTATATTTAGAAACCCGCCAAGCAGGATTCCATACTGAGCACAGTCCCCATGATCGTGTTTTCAGCATTGACCTGCGCCGACCTGCCAAAAATTCGGACATCGTCACTCCGTTGCTTGTTGCGCCCGGCCGGTGCAAAATTCTAATAGGCTGACCTCTAAAGTCACCACTTCCCGGCCATCCGTCCACCGGGGTCCCATCTTCATGCGGAGGGCATGGCGCGCCCTGCCCAACAGGGCGTGCCAGGCCGCGTCGACAACCCACCGGGTGTCTCAACGTACAGTTGAACTATTGAACTAATCAAAGTACTATTGAGTCACTGGCAAGCTCGAAATTTGGACTCAAAGTGCCAGGCCCGCCTCAGGGCGTCGCGAACAGCTGCAGCGCCTTCCCGCACAGCACACCCACCACGCTGCGCCCGCCGCGCAGGCAGCTGTTGACCTGCACGACGTCGGACCCGGTGCCGGGAAAGTCGTCGACCACCTGACCAATCGCAGCGACGTCAGGGCTCGCGACTTACACGCGCCGCAAGGAACGGCACGGGGCGGCGATTGGCCGTAACAGCGGATCTGCAGATGCGGGGCGGCTGTCGGCGTGCATGGACATGGATCGCTGAACAGGAAGAAATATTTCGAATCTTTTGTTTAAGCAAAAGAATAACAAGGAACTAGGAAGCTGAAGTTATACTTTAGCTTCTCGGTTCCATGTTATTCTGCTTATCGATTTATCCATTTGTTTATATATACTAGTTGGACGCCCGGCGTGTGCTACGGTGTGCCCACCTGACCCGACCTAAGATCCCAAAGCAGTGCGGCCTGCCGGCGCTCGCAGCCTGATGCAAACAGCCGCCGCTGGCAGCCGCCATCCGGCACAAAGGCACCTCTCGTCCTTCCCCTGAAGCTGACGTGCGCCGACAGCATCCTGCCAACCTGAAGGCCGGACACATCCGCATCATATTCGCCGGTCAAAGGTCACAATTTCACGACCCGCTCATGAAGTAATGACGCAAGTCGATAGCAATGAGAGCAATTTCACGACCGGAAGGGATTTGGGGCGGCCACGCGATTTGGTCCCTGCTGACGCATTGAACATTTCCACTGCATTCTTTCAAGCAGCAAAACGAGGCATAAGCGACAGAATATGTGCGTTACAATATAACGGGCAAAATAACGGACCAAGATAATGTAAACAAACGAAATAGACGCAACGGACGAGAACTGTATGGGGTGTGCAGGTCTGGCTAGCAACTTGCGCTGTGCTATTGGGCTGATGCGCCATCGCTGGACTGCTCCGGCAACAGAGCACTTTCTATCTCGAATCTTCAGCGACTTCCACCAAGTTGGGAGTTCAGTGACCGCCAACGACCAGGCGCCCACAAGCGTTTTCAGCCAAAACATGAAATATCGAAGCAACTAAATCTGCGCGAGACTGCGTGCAAGTCAGTCGGTCCTCAGCACATACTTCAAAGGTGGCACACCTCAATCTGCCCTGGCTGAAGGTCAATCAATGTCCATGCTCGCAACAATTTGCTGGGCAGTTGGCGCAGCAGTCAGGGTTTGTGTTCGGGACATGCAAGCCACCATGCCAACAGATTTGCCACAAACTCTTGTCAAAAAAAGTGAAAGAAAATGGTGCAGGGACTCGTTGCTGCCACCATTCCTGTTTTTTTTCCTTCCTCCTTTTCTGTATTGCTGCTTTCCGCCATCGTTCATAGCATTGCTGCTAACTTGCAGAAACTGGAGCCAGAATCGATGGGCTGTGCCATGGCAGCAGCTGACCCACCGTCCACTGTGCCCTGGCATGATAGTTGTAGAGCTTGTGGATGGCAGTGCCTTGGGGCCCGCAGGGCCGCACAGAGACTGCCAGTGTCGCTGTCCCCTGGTCAACAGCCACGGATTCGATGGTCCCCGCCACGGTGCACACCTAGGGGCCACATACAACAAAGTACTGGGCACAATGCTCGAAAGAGGAGTGAACATTTCGGTTTCTTGCCATTTACTTCTTTTCTTTTCTTTCCTTTCAATTTCCTTCATCCTGGTTGGCCGCATCGAACATAGGGTCATATGATGGAACAGAATGGACATGTTAGCATTGTGTCACATTTCTTGTGAGAGGGTCCAGACAGTGGACAGCATTGAGACACGTGTCCATGTTGTTGTGGATTTAAAATTATGTACAACACATTGTTGCTTGCTGCATACAGGGCATATGTGATATTGCTGATAAAGCATACGTACCACTAAAATGTGCTACTTGAAAGAACAATTAAATAGTTCCTTATACAATAGTTTATGTCAAATTGTTGAAATTTTTAGGGGAAAATGACAAAAGGGGTTCCTCTGTGAGATGTCTTGACAAAAGGGGGTCCTATGACCGCACCCTGTACATTAGGCGCGTTGCCAGACCGGCGCCAGACCAGCGCCAGACCGATGCCATATCGGCACCGGTATTGCACCAGACTGGACCACGGTCCTACTAGGGGCGACCCCTCTGGGAGGGCGCAGGGAGCACACAACTGTCGGAACTACAGGAGGGAGTCGTAGCACTCGGAGTTGTGGGGGAGACCAAGCAGCGAATGGGGCTGCGGGGAGAGCAAGCGGGGACCGGAGCTGCGGGGAGAGCAAGGGGTGATCGGAGCTACCTGGGAGCATACTGGTGCCGGTATGGCGCCCGTCTGGCGCCGGTCTGGCAGCGCGCCTAATGTATGGGGGGCGGTCAGCGGGTCCCCTTTTGTCACACGCACCCCCGCAGAGGACCCCCTTTTGTCAAGATATCTCACAGAGGACCCCCTTTTGTCATTTTCCCAATTTTTAAGTTACTGGGATGTGAGTGCTGTAGCATACAGAACTGGGAAATGCGATGCTGCCAGCTGTGACAAAGTACTGGACCACTGGGATATTTTCATTCTCTGAAAAAGATGTTAACTGTACAGAAGTGCCACTGTCAAACAGGCAAAGATTACTAGTCCTGAATTAGCATGCAAAACAATGAAACTCCGTTTTGGTAAACCTCCTGCATAGTGTCGCTTTCGATTTTCAGTTCCAAAAGATGTTCAATTCAGATTCATAGTGGTAAAACCACGACGGCAGAATTGTCAGATTTAGATTTCAAGGCAGTGATCCAAGGGTGCACAGCTCCTGTGTGCACTGGTGCACAAAAGCAGAACATTGTTAAGTACTGGATATAACCATAGCGCCTCGGTACTCAATCTCAGAAATACTGGGCACCGCTGGTAGTGTTACAAGATTCTAAGTGTGCATTAACAAAAGCTGATGACATGGCTGTTCATTCGATGTGGAGGCTTCCCAGGGAGTTCGCCTCCAGCACAGTCCTTCATGAACAGAAGCAGTGTATCATTCACTGTACAAACAACGACGTTTTCTGTTTCAATCAACTTTGTCAAATTCCTCCCATCAGTCCAAAGCGCAACTCAAATTCGGAGCCCCAAGACAAGCTCCCCACCACGTGCGGTTCAGAGGCAGCGGCAGCATCCTGCAGGGGCAGGTCCCACAGGTAGGTGCTCTGGCTGTTGGCCGCCACCAGCGCCCTCACTTCGCCAGTATGCATGCAGGCCAGGGACGTCAGGCCCTGCCGCCGTGGGGAGCTCAGTTCTTGCAAGGGACCGGAGGGCATCCTTAGGTCGAAGGCAGAGACACGGCCAACAGCCAATCCGGCATACACCTAGGGGGAGAAGACCTCGAGTGGGTTTCACTCACATGTCATTTCAACAGGAGTCTATTGGAGCCTCTAAGGGTTGATGCGGATGCTGAATGCATACAGGCACGGAGCAATTATGGAAACACACACAATGTGAATAAGCACAACAAAAATGTACAAAGCGAAAATTTGGAAAAAGAGTGATAGTCTGTCGTTGAGCCCAAGCCATTGTCTTTGAGCAGAATGCAAATTGCCTTGACCCAAAGTTGTGCATAGTTGATAAAGTGAGTACTTGGATTTGCAGGTTGCCCTTCGACTCATGGAAAACATGTCAACAAAGCATGAGTCATTACTCAACAAGAATCATGAAAAGATGCAGTCTTCTACCATGCAAACAAGCATGAGTTCCTAAACGCAACAGGATGTCAAGCAACGGAGACCAGGACGATCAACAATTCAACAGGTGCATGCGACGTGAGATGAGGTGTTCCCATGATGCTCTGCTGGGGACAAAATGTGTCTGCATGCGTACAGGACCTAAACAACCCTGAACAAAACTCTGAGTGTAAATCCATATCTAGATCTGAATACACCCTGTACCACAGTGGCATAGAATTGTACACCAGTTCAGAATTCATCAATGCAGACATCAGCAACTTCTGCCACAGACTTTGTTTATTCTCCTTTACTGTTATGTAACAAAAGTACTATCAGCACTTGCTGTAGCACCACGTTGATACATCATACAAATAAAAGTTCAGCACTCCCTTCTGTTGAGCATAGCAGGAAAACAGGACACCAATTGGCATGGGTATCTGACAGGCATGCCATACCATATTCTCTGCCTCCCAAGCACAGCTCAAAACTGGGAACGCCAGCTCCTTTTGCACGATCTCGTGGCCACTGGTCATGGATACAACCCTGATGCGTTTGTCGATGGCCACACACAGGCGCTGCGCAGATGGCGACAGCCGCACATCCCTCACTGGGCCTCTGCCTGGCAAGTGGATCTGGCCCTCCGATTGTGGAGCGATCATGCTTATCTGCAGGTTGAGACAACAGATTGAATGCTTGAACAGACATGGGTAAAATGGCATGCCATTTTTCTATGTTGCACAATTATCTCAGCCATGTTTCGGTGTGCCAAAAGCACAGTTGAGAGGATAATATGACATAGCAATGAAACAAGATGGAGCACAAGTGCACAGCAATACATGATATTCATGACATGATCCAATTTCGACGCAATTTATCACCAATGCACAATTTTCAGCTATTCAACAGATTTCGACCAGGAATGGAAGTGCTTGAAAGGGCCATTTTCACCATGTTGTGTGAGAATGCGACAAATGCTGACTTTCAACCTGCATGCTGAAAAACATCATCTGTGGACCACAACCACAGCTGACAGAATGCAGTTTTGCCCTTCTGCATTCGACATCCAATGCCATCAGCAGGCATTCTGTGTTGAGCATTGTGTTCTTGGCAGACCACTGCAAACATCAAGGCTGTCCGATCATCTGGATTCATTAGAAGCATGTTCCATGAACAGTGTGTCGTTTTTGACACTGTTGTGATGGATACAGTTTCTGTCAGTCTGTCTTCTGGCTCTCCATGCCTCTGTCGCCAGGTTCATGCATCTGCACTGAATTTTGTCACGAATGTGCCGTACATGTATGCCACACATACACCACGCATGTATGCCACACATGCACCATACACGTATGCCACACACTCTCCACGGTAATGGGCACTGTTCTGTTGCATAGTTCAATTGAAATCATGGCTAGCTTCCATTCTTACCTGCCGGATCATCCATGCATCCGCTAGCCAAGGGCCTGGCTGTGATGGCAGCAACAACGTTGCCTGCTCCCCACTCATGTCAAAGCAAAGTGCACCCTGCACACAACAGGTCCACAGCACTCACAACAAGCAGCAACGCCTCTTTGCAAGATGGAAACAAGTCATACAGGCCCCCCAACCACCCCCCGATCGAGTGCGATACTCATTTCCCTGCCCAGTGTTGAAAGTGCAGCTGCCACTGCAGCACCTGGTGCTAGGCGTAAACAAAGAACGTTGGCACAACTTAAATCGGGTACAGTGATGCTGGCAATCAAGAATGTCAACTTTTACACTGCTTGAGAAGGGAACTCGATCACAACAAGCAACCAGATGCAAGCCCTCGCTGCTCATAATCACCCCACCCTTTCACCTTTAGGTAGTGTGGTTGGAGCAGAAGCAGGTAATTCAGCTTGACAACAGACGCTCAATGGCCAAGACATGCAGACATACAGTATCCCAATTTTACAGAAGAATGGAAAACGAACGCACAACTCATTCTCAGATGCTCACTCTAGACTCGGTGCAGTACTCCCTCAGATAAGGACTGCCTCCATTGACTCGCTGTTGGCCTTCTGACAAGAGTGGACGGCTACAGCTTGGCATCCTGCTGCCCGGCGGGGGTGGCATTGCACAAATGGCATTGGATGCAGCAGCCTGCTGGGGTGCGCACAAAATTGTGCCCCGTGCCACTGAGTTGGTGAGGCTTGCCAGCTCAAGCTTCAGCCTCTGCAAGGAACAACTACACACAGCACTTTAATGTGGAGAGTTCTGGCCCAGTGCAAGCGATGAGCTCCAGGTTAAGAACAAACTTGGAAATTTACAGTGGGAAATGGAGACAAGATGCATGCCATGTGCTGTTCAATTCTCACACAACCTGATGAATTGAGCCTGATAGCAGGGGAAGCCCCACCTTATTCTCTCGAATGCACTCGTCCCTCTCTGCAGCTGCTTTCAAGTGCTGCTCCTTCCTCTCAGCAGCAATTCGCTTGTGCCTTTCGACCTCTTGCCGCAGTGTGGCAACAAGAGAAGTGTCCACACAATGGAGGTTCTGAACATACATCCTTCGGAGGTCCTTTTTGGTACACCTGGTATGCAGGTGCACGCAAGGCAATGACCTCATGCACCGAAACATGCACTAATGCATAGCATGGCATGCACAGTAATATGAATAGCAAATAGCTAATAAGAAGAGTCTGTATAATAACTCTGAAGAGTGGCCAGTGCATTCGTCCATTGATACAAAGAAGAACAATATGGCCAAACTCAATGCAGGGCTTGAGTTTGCTTATCTCCTTAGGGAGCGTAAAAAGCTCCCTTTCAACTTCGTTCTCAGTTGGTTATTCCAAATGCCTGCTTTTCAGAAGGATGGCCAAGAAAACTGTGAAAAATCAATCACTTGCATGCAAGCTATTACTTGTGTCAGCTATCAGATAATATTCAAGCATAACCAAAGCACGATTGAATAAGATAACTTAACCTAGGGGTCAGAGTCGCACCTCTTCTTGCAGATGGGACATGTCTTGCTCTGCCGAAGCCATTTCTTGATGCATGCTGCACAGAAGACATGACCGCAGCGACTGTTCGACAAACACAGAAAACCCTCAGTGGCTGATATGCATGGGATAGTCATCTGCAACAAACATTGAGGCAAGATGTGCAATGAGCTCCCTGTGCCTGAGTTGCCTCAGTACACCTGAAAGATCACATCTCAGTGGTTTAACAAAACAGATGAGCATGCAACATTGGCACTAGGGAAGGCACCATACAGAGGCAATCGAAGCTGCAGCTGTCTTTGCTGCTTGACAAAAACTAAAGGTGCAATTGCGAGTCCATTTAAAAAGCTTCACCAACTCACTGCTCCATGCCCTTCTGCTCACGTTCAAAAGCTTGTACAATGGCTTCCAAGGCACGTCACACAAGTCTGTTGAGGACAGCAAATGCACTGCCTGCAAAATTCACAGTGTCTCGAACTTTGGCAAACAAACGACAGTCCACCTTGCTCACGTTGAATGTGGTACGTGGTCCCCTTCACTGGTGTAACACTCTGCACAGATCGGGCAGTCCTCCCCATCAGCCGACTTAAAGCCCCCTGGCAGCACAATGCCAAAATTTTTGGTGATTAAACCCCAAGAGGAAGCCAATGTGGGTGTTTTGGCAGCGTTATACCCATTGCTGCCTTCAGGTGCAAGGTTACCACCTTTGAGATGAAAGCACAAAGTATCCAATGGATGAGGATCCCATACGCGATCTACATGATTTGCACACATTGCAGGCTGGCCAATATTGAAAGCCCTGTGGTGGGTACTGGGAGAAAATCACACAGGAAAAGCATACTCGTTAATGTGAACACCTCCCAATATCTTGCAAAACAGGCACAAAGGCAGTGCTTCTCTGTGTTTTGAACAAGTTCAGGACATGTGACTCACGTCCTGCGGCACAGGCTGAGACTAATCCTAGTGTGAATGAAACTACAACATAATTCAGCACAAATTTGACACACCCACAAACAAGACCCTTTTGTTTCTTGCAGTGAGACAAATGTCAGGTGCAGAGCTCACTGCCCTTGCCCTAAGATGTGTGCCATTCTTGGGTGCAATATGCTGGAAATCATCACAAACACCAAATATCAAACCCAATCATGATTCGCAGCAGACAGTGGGCTCCTCCTCTGGACTAAAGATGCACAGCGATGTCCCCTGTTTTGAAAGATGATGCAGGATCAAGGATTTCAACAACGTCAATGGCAGATGCGCCGATGGAATTGTATTTTAGAAAGCAGTGCCCAGTGCTCAACTATGGGGCAAACTGCTTGCTTCTGAGTGCTGAGTTTATCCTGGGAGATAGCTGCACAAAGTGACAGCAGAAAACATGGTTTGGCTACAATGCCCCTGCTGGGGAAGTTGCTGAAAGCTTGCAGAAATTGCCAAACTCTAACTACAATTGACCTGCTGCAGCAATCCAGTTTGACGAGATCAACATTGGTCTGTGTTCTGCACAGCACCGACTGTGCAATGCGCCCTTCGTTTCTCCCACTGACGTACGAAAAACTGGCTTATTCATCGTGCATTCTGTCTCTCTGCCTGTGCAAACTGTGCACACCGATGTGCTGCACATCCGGACATTGAATTTTGGCGTCCAAGAGGGTTGGATGAATGGCCTATCGGCCACATCACTCAATTTTCTCCATTCGTGTCATTGAATCGCGCAGGTTGGATGCACAGGAACAGGCACGCGATAGCCTAGCAGCAGCAAGAACGAGCAGACTTGAAGAAGACATCAGCTGACGAATGGGCGCTACAGAGGCACCGTCGGAGCTCTTCATTGCCCAGGTCAAGTATAAACCCTGCTTACTGTCCATCTTTTACGATTGTCAATACACCAGTGGATAGGGCTTTATATTGGAGCCACTGGCCCTAAACCACCTCAATCCGACTGGACCCTGTCTTTGCGCCTTTGCCGATGCGCCAAGCACCCAAACAATGCCCCCAGATGCAAGCACCACGCCCCCGGCAGGCTGGCAGCCAATCAATTCAAAATTGATCATTCGGCAGCGGACAGCGCGTGAATCAGCTCGGCACCCCCCGCCCTCGCACACCAACCCAACCCACCGCTCGTTGACGGCGCATCATCATCAGACAGGACCTCCACGCAGTTGGCCATTCAGGCCCACCAGGTCGCTCCCGAGCGCCTCCTCGGGGATCCACGCGCGCCCCCCCTTCCTCCGCCTCGCGGGAGGCCGCCGCGACCAATCGTCGGGCGGCGCATCCACGGCAGCGTCGCGCCACAGCGTCGTCCGTCGTGAAAGCCCGCCCTCAGGCCATGCACACGCGCCACTGGGCTTTGGCGGGGCAGCCGGAGCCCGTCCGGAGGATGGGGGCGCCCGGGAAGGCCTGGCCACAGGGTGGGCGGGGTCGTCCAGTCTCCCCTGGCGGCATTTTGGCGGGAAGGTTGTGGCCTGGTGCGTCTTTCGAAAAGTTTCGGCCTTCGGAAATTTCCAGAAGGCAATTTTTACCGCCTTTAAGTAAAGCATGTCGCTTGTAAGCGACATTTTCGCGTCAAATTTGAGCACCGACGTTTTGAAATCAGGCACTTGATCGATTTGCTATTTAAAGCCTCCGCGCGAATTTGACTGAGCTGGTCGGCAACTTCACAGATGACACCCAGGGAACTTTGGGCTCCATTGCAAGAGGCGCCAATCGGGTTGTTTGAAACCCAAAGAATGTGTTCTGCAATCTACCCAGCTCAATTTGATGCGATCTTCGGCGAAGCCACAGCCACTGTTATGTAGTACGTCACTACGTTACCGTAGTTACCGTAGTTGCCGTGGACTGTAACAACAATGAGTTGGGCAGTCATGCAACCAACATTGGCCTTCAAGAGCAGCCCTTGTCGTCAACGCTTTGGCCATCCTGCAATCGAAGCGTATGGTCGGACAGTATGTGAGGACATGTGCCAGCGCGAGCAGGATACGGGTGTACACGAATATGATGAGGTAGTTCTAAATGCGAAATCTCGTAGCTTCCTTCCACCAGTCCTGCAAGGGCCTCGGATCTCTGATAGATGTGTTTCGATCTCAACGATGGCCGCCTTCCAACGCACATGCGAAGATAGGCACCGGAATCCACAATGTGACGTCGCTGTTTCTACAATTTTTGCAATCTATCTAATGCGCTGCCTGCCCAATATGGAGCCCAACATCGCGTCTGAGATGCCAGGACTGTGTTTTGTCAAGTTTATTTGACAACTGTAATCAATGCAGTCGAGCTGCCTGAACGGCAATCCGCGTGGCTAAGTTCATTTACTAAGTTTCCCGGCGCGTCACCCCACATGCGCCCAGCAACCAACATTTGCATTCAATCGCCGCGCCCAGCACTTAGAACATTGACTTATGGATCAATAGACTAGTTAGATCCATGGGTACAATGCGTAATTTCCATCTGTATACACCATGAAAAGTATTACCAAGTGCACATATGCACGAAGATCACAGTTTTCATCCATTACATTAAGCATCAATAAATTTAACTTCAATGTACCGTAAATATCTATTTTCACAGACCACTCGCTGCATACTTGTCTCAAAGAATGGTTACCCCAAGAACCTCTTCAATGTGGGCTCTGAACCTCAACCTCACATAATCCATAACCCATTTGCCGTCGTGGCGAAGTAAGCTTGGGGTCAGAAGAGTCACCATGTCGGACACGGCCTGAGAATAGGCACCAGAATGCATGTCATTTGATGACAAATTGAATCAAAACCAGCACAAAAACAGTGCCAATATACTGTCTTCCAATGGAGCAAAATTCCGTCCAGTGATGGCAATCGGTATGCGTGACGCTGCTTAGCAAATCTTGACGTGATTCAATATGGCGTAGCGCAACAGAACACAACGTAGAGTTCATATCGCAAAAAATGACAACGAGAAGTCTGTAGATGCTGAGTAGATGCTGAGATCAGCGAAGGCGCTGATTTCAGTGCACCGGGTTCTCTTTCCCAAACAGCACTGGTGTGACAAACACAATGGTGTTGTGCCACACCAGATTGAGTTGGACAGTTGTGACCACGTGAATAAATTTTGCGTCCTTCGCCCTACGGCAGGGATTTCAAACGCAGTGGGCAGCTCAAATTGTAAAATTGCAAATATGCAAATCGGCAACACAGACTGCATGGGGTATCCACATCGTGTACACAGGGAAGTTCCTTGTTCAAAATTCAATTCGATTCAATTCAAACGGTCATAATTATTGCTGCAACGAACACAGCTGGAAATCTGCCAATTTGCTATGATACTCTACAGGTGAAAAGCTGAATCATCACATAGCACACTGAGTATTTTTCCGCGCACCTCCTCTCTGTCCTTTTCAGGAAGTGCCTGTAGGAAACTGTGAGCAAAAGTGCCGATCCATCCCCGAACGTCGGTTGGCAGCACCGTCGGGCGGGGAACGAGCTCAATGAAGTCTACCATGAAGTTCTGCTGTTCCAGCACGTTTCGGTACTCCTCCACGGATGGAAAGTACCTGAGTGAAGCAAGCGGTGAGCGGCGGATTTCGGAGCGCAGTTGTCGGCAATGCTGTGTCCGGGGAAATGCGGAAATGCGTAACAGCCAATCTACCGGGGAAAGGTTTAGTCATTGCCTTCGATTCAAATGCCGGAGTCAAAAGCGTCACGCGCACTCAAACATCAAGCGCGAATACGAATTGCAAAACCAGCAGGTTTACTCTTTTCAGCCCAATTAAGCTGCTGAATATCGGGAATCAGCAATGTCCAACGCGTTGAAATGGATCCTATCTGTGTACAAAATCTGATTATTTGAGCAATTCTGGCAATGGTATGACGTCATATCTGTGGATATTTCCCATTGAAATTATTTATCATTTACTCTGTTCGCAAATAACCATTATAAGTAGTGTATTCAAACACATTCAATACTGTGAGTCCTGCATTCTCGAGATGGGAAGATCGTCACATTTTGCGATGCTGATCTAATGATGCAGAGCGACCGCTACTTCAAGAAAACATTTGAATGTAATTAGCCAGACGACACCAACCGCGGTGAATGCCATTGTGCGACTCTCGATGCATGGGAGACGTCCCTTATGATTGTCATACATCTGCAGTGTTGGTGCTGTTATGAACACTGCTGTGCGGCGCACGTGCGATTTGCGGTGTGCACAGAACTACCGGGGGAGGGGATCTGGATGGTTCAGCCGTCATGGAACAGTAGTGTCGACTGGCCAACTGGTAGATCGACTCTCCAATTCACAGCACCTGTGCCGTGAAAGGCTGGTACCCCGCCTCATTTTGGGCCAAGCCGAGTGCATAACAGCTAAGGCGTTTGTGGCTGTAGTGCATGCACTCCCATCTTGGATGCATACAAATGGACGCGTGCACGCCCGCCATCGCCTACAGGGTGCAAGGCCGCCGATATGCTGTGTCGAAGGCAATTTTCCATTACTCTATTTCATCCATTATATTATTCTTTTCTTCATCGTTTTGCTTTAACTTCAAGGGATTACAGCAGCTCAGATGACAAGCAGAACCGGCGATGAATTCCATCCGGCAGATCCCTGTCCGAGAGCCTTGGGAGGACGCAATCCTGTTTTGAAGAATGCTGGCGCGAAGTTTAGTACTTTGTGGCACGTGCACGCAACGCTTCGGTCCGCAAGGGTGCTGCGCTCACCATGGGTGGCACACCCTCACGTCCACCCCGCGCTGCCTCAGGACCGCCGCCGCCGCCGTGACAAGGGACGCGCAGTTCCCAAAGCCGCCAAACTCGCCAACGAACCTCCCTCCCGGCCTGAGGGCGCGCCTGACGCCCGCCACCACGGCCTCGGGGTCGTCCTTCATCCAATGTAGCGCCGCGTTCGAAAAGACAGCATCGAAGGAGCTGGAGAAAGGAAGGGCATGGCCGTCCATGCGATAGGCCTGGATGCCTGTGCGAAGAAATCCCGTGTGTTGCATTCGGTCGCCAAGTGATGGCCATTTGTGTGTTTCATTCTGTTTGGTGCTGTTTTTGGCGTGGAATGGCTGAAATGTGTATCATTGGTGCAGACGACGTTGGAAATGGATCAAACATCGCAACCCTAACAGCGCTTGTGCGCTTGTAGTGCGATTACCGCCGGTGCTTGCCAAAGGCACGTTACAGAGCGTTTGCAAATGTGACTGCAGCTATTCGCACGGACAGGGAGTCAATTTGCATGGTTTTTCGCAAATTCCCATGCACATGGCTGCTCTAGCACATCCCCGTTGGGATCCATTGTTGCTGCTGACTAAGGGAAGACACTGTGCCGAAATTGTTACGCTTAGCGTCAATTTGACGCTAAAGAGCGGGGGGGTGCCCAGACCTGTGACGCTAAAAGATTACGTAATTGCAACAAAATCGACATAAGCTGAGAAGATACCCAAAAAGCTGCTGAAAAGCGATAAGCGCATGACTTGTCTCAAAACTTCCCTTTGGATTTCATTCTTCACAAAATGCCCGATAAAGTCTCAATTAGCGGCCTTCGAGACTTCCCCCCATCATCTGCTGTGAGATTTTGCATCTTAGTCTCCAGCCCACTAAAATTGCTGCAGTCTTTGCTGTTTTTCTTCCTTCAAAACATAGTAAATTGGCACCGCGCTATTATGTAATAATGCTGAGTCATCCTGGCTTCGACGTAAGAATTGGCGCTAAGGAGGGGATGGGTGGGGTTGGGGTTGGGGGTGGGTGGGTCTGAGCTTAACGTCAAACTGACGCTAAGCTTGACAAAATCGACATATCGAATTTCCTAAAACAAATTGTCATTTTCAATTCTGCATTTTGAAGATATTTCTATTCGGTTTTTGTGTCTGCACGAATGCAAATACATGTGACTGGTATTTTGACCATGTATTTATTCACTCATGCGGACTGCGTTGCGCAACGCAATGCATATTCGCAGCATCAACGAACCTCGGCTCCTGGCTCTCTCAACCATCGACTCGCTGGCATCGATGCCAACGACAGAGCAGCCGACGTCCACCAATTTGAGCGTTAGGGCGCCATCGCCGCATCCAAGGTCGAGAATAGACTCGCCTACAACATTGTGACAAATTTTGGTGAAATTATGATTTTGGTGAATTAGTGGGATTTCCAGGGCCTCAAATCAAAGGTGCAATTTCTAATTTGGGACGGAGGAAGTAAATTGCTGAAACTCGTGTATTTCTTGACAACTGACACGGTGGATTAACGACTGGGCGCCCTCAAAAGCCCAGTACTTTGCATCGGAAACAACCACAGCCTCCACAGGACTTTATCCCCTCTCAAATGCCCGTCGCCCTGTCCAAGCATAAGAAGAGCGTGCACGCGTCTGTGGGCCCGCGGCGCTCAGCACTCGACGCATCGCCTTGCACAAAGCCTCCAGGGGCTCGCTTCAGCCCCCTGGGTTCTCCAAGCACGAGTTTAAACCTAACGCCCGCACAGTTTGGCTGCACAGGCAGAAGCGCCCTTCCCCACCGCAAGCGGCCTGTGCCCACGGAACCCAAATGCGTCAGCCCCTTCCCTCCAACCCGCAGAAGCGCTCGCACGCACCAAAGACAGCCATCGCCGTGTGCCACGCGGGGACGCCGCTGAAATGCTCCAGCAAGAGTCGCCCTCGCAAGACAAAGCCTCTCTCCTTGGACCCCGCAGGCAATGGCGGGGACGCTCACATCCAACAAAAACGTTCTTGTATCCCTCGCGAGTTTATTTCATACACTCGCCACCCGTCTGTGACAGATCTGCTGTTGCGCACAGATCTGTGTACACCGCCTAGACCGTGGATCAGACGACGGGAAGGGCGGCCGGCGCACCTGGCGCCGGCTTGAGGATCTCGAGCACCGGAGAGGACAGCTCCACGTTGAAGTGGCCGTGCTCCTCGTAGCGCTCCGCCACCCACGCGTTGCTCTCCACGATGCCAGGGCCGCCGCCCCGGGCGCCAGCCGACGCCGGAGAATCCGAATTCGCCTCCGGCATTCCGCAGAAGATCGAGATCCTGGCCGGCCTGCGCTGAGATCGGGAGATGGGGGATCGCAGAGAGCGGGTAAGGGAGGGGATCGGGCGGCGGAGGATGGGCGAGAGGGCGCCTGTGAGGGGGAGGGATCGCGGCATCAAGAGATGGGGGTTCACGTCGGCCGGCGACGCACAACAGGGTGCACTTGGCTAGCCTGCGTTTGCTCTGGGTGCGTGCGGTGCAAAGTGGGGGGTGCAAGATGTGAGCGTGAGTGGAGGACGGGTAGAGGGTGGCTTCGCGACAGCTGGAAAGCGCCAGGGTGGTGGTGGTTGCGTGATATTGTTGTGAGGGTTTGGTGGAGCATATTTCCTTCTTTCGATGGCAAGGCCAACGAGGGTCAGTGGGCCAGTGGTTTTAGGGTTTAGGCTGTCGAAACAAGAAGGGTTCTTCACGGAAAAGACAGACCTGTCTGGTCGCTCTAGCGCGAATAATTTCATGCCGGGTATGGTGGTTCGCCGGCTCGTGGGCCCCCCGGGTGAAGGGGACCGTTTCGGACCCGTGAGTGCTGGGCGTTGCCGCGTTGACTGAGCCATTGACCGTCGGGACCTCTGCCTCAGACAGGAGTTTGCTCAACGTTTCTACACGTAAAAGATGTGCCGTGTTGCGGTACACAGAAATTCGCTGGGTCGTAGTTCATGTTTGAATTTGTTGGCTATCACAGTGCTCGGTTCGCTAGAAAACGCTAGTGAACGAAATGCAAACGTGTGTAGTAGGGGCAAGCATGAGCCGTTCTCCGATACTGTGCCTCCTGAAATGATGGGCTACAACTATACACTGCATACATTTGATACATGGACTTCACAGCTCCTGTCTTCTGGCTTTTCCCTTAGTAGATCAAGGAGCAAAGTCAGCAAATAAGAGAAGATACTATGTCGAAATGTGTACGTTTAGCGTCAATTTGAACGGGGGGGGGAAGGACCTGTGACGCTAGGAGGTTGTGTAATTGCCACAACATCGACACAAGCTTGGAAGATACCCAATACTCTGCTAAAAGGTGGAAAGAAACTCGTGACTTGTCCCCAAACCTCCCTTCGTCGGTTAATCTTCACACAAAGCCCCATACAATCTCAAGTGACGGCTTTCAAGGGTGCCCACCACCATCTGCCATGGCTTTTGCATCTCGAATTTCAGCCCACTGCAATCGCTTCAGTTTTGGCTATTTTCCTTTGACGTCAAATTGACGCTAACAGTAGCAAAACTTAGAAGGTCGTCCCTATTGTGAGGTCCCTATTGACTTTTGCTTATTTTGTGTCTATTCAGAGTGCAGGCTCTTCAATTTATTGCGCGCTGTGCTTGCAATGCGACTGGTAAACTACCCTTCCCAGGATCATTTTACATTCGAGAGGGCTTTCTCCATTGTTGGAAGCGCAATCCGTGCGTTGCACATGGAGCAAGACCTTGCCAAAGTCATGTGTATGCAGGAAAAGGGCACTCCTGCAACCCCACATCAAGGTCCTGCGCTGTCCGTATCCAGGACGTGGAGCGCCCATGTCCGGCATCCCAGACACGGACATCCTCGCCCATATCCTTGCTTCGCATTCCACGATACGCAAGCTTATCCCCAAGTCGGGTCCAGGAGCCTTGGACTGCATAGGATTTGTCGCTCTGTTTTTTACGTGAAGATCTCTTCTAGTTTCGACACCCTGAGGCGTAAAATCACTAAAAACCTAAAAACTCTCACCCCCCGACCCCTGGACCCACGTTGCCTTGTCAGAAGAAGGGGTCCTCACGAACGACAGAAAACTAATATTCTCGCCGGCCCGTGACACGTGTCCTTCCACCTCATTCCCCTCTTGCTCGCGTGAAGCCTCCTCCCCACTTGGTTCATCCACTTCACCTCCAGTCCCCCACACACACACTCCACGGTCTGCTCCTCGACGTCACCGCCCACGACCGTGACAGCCCCTGAGGCTTACGCTGACCCGCCCCACCGCCGCGCCGACGTCCAAGGCCCGCCCCCACCTTCATTGCCTTCTTCCCCGTCTTCGCCTTCTGTGATGTCGCGTGGCGCCCCGCGCTCGCTCGCGAGCAAGGCGCCACGCTCCCATGGACGATGTGGAACGCAATCTCGACGACCCGAAAGCTTTCCCAGCTTCAGACTTCGCGCACAGCGCTCCGGAGACCGGAGAGAACGGCTCCGCCGCGACCGATCCATCAGCGACCCCGTCCACGACCCCCTCAGCGCTGGACGCGGATGATGTGTTCAATCCCGACACGCACGTGCTGCTGGGGCAGGAGCTGAAGACCGACCGCCAGGTCAAGGTCGTACTGCGGGCGCTGTACTGGACGGCGGCCCTGTCCGCTGGCGCGCTGGCTGCCGTCTTCGCCCTCAAGGCGCGGCTGTCCGGCCGGCCGCTGATCGACACGCGGCGGCTGCACCAGCTGAACGCCGCATTCGCGGCACTGCACCTGGGGGCATCTGCTGCCACCGCAGTGGTGCTCGCCCTCCGGCTGCGTCTGGTGGCCCGCGCGGGGCTGGCGTGGTCCAAACGCCGCCGGAGATGGGTGAATCTTTATTCAAGCCAGCTCGCCCTGGTCATGCTGCTGGCGGCTGCCTTCCTGGCGCCGAATGCCCACATGTTGACCAACCCGTGTGGCCATGTGGACGCGCCGGTGTGGGTGGCGCATGGTGTTCGGTTCACGTGCTGGAACTCGCTGCTGGCGCTGTTCGTGATCGGCGTGAGGAACTACACGCCCAGCACGGAAGCCGCGGACAGGCCGGATGCTATCCTGCTGGACGCCCCGTGGCGCGTGCACTGGCCGGTGGGCGTCTACTGGATGGCGTTTGAGGTCGGTTTAGCGGTGGCGGTGGCTGGCCGTCTGGCCACATCAAGCGCTGAAACCGCCTGCAGGGAGATCGAGTCTGGGCAATGCGACCCCGGCGGCGTCTGGCTGTTCTCGGCTATTCTCTTCGGGGTGCTTTTCATCGGGTACGTCGCGATGTACGCGCGCAGCGCCCGGCGGGCATTCGTGGAGCTGGGCAACAAGGCGTACTGCGAGTTCCGGTGGACGAACGTGGATCTTAGGTACCAGGTGCGGATCGGGACCCTGGTGATGCTCTTCGGGCTGGCGGACATCCTGCTGTGGTTCGCCGAGATGCGCTCCTGCCTCAGCTTCGTGATGGCGCGCTTTGGCCTCCTGCCCGCGGAGTTCTCCGTAACGGCGTTCACGATCGTCGACTGCGCCTTCATGCTGCCGGGCCGGCCAGGAACCAGGCCGCCCGAGGACGCCGCCCATGGGCTGGAGAACTACAGGTGCTTTGCTTCATAGCATGGACTGTTCAGTTGTGTGTGTTATTAACGTGTATTTTCAGCATTTGATCTCCCTCTGGGACAAGCTTTTTGATCTTCTTTGGTGTCTGCTTCCTTTGGGCGGTTCACGCAATCTCTCTGGTGTCATGTTTCATTGATTGACAACTGCAGGTGGGGTGAGGAGGAGGCAGGGCGGCCAGGCTGTTGCGATGGCAACCGGCCGCTGTTCTGCTTCGAGACAGCCGCCAAAGTGCACCACTGGTGCGAGATGATCTACGCCTACAACGCCCGCACGGGACTTGTGGCGGACCCATTCGATATCAAATCGGCTCTGGCCCTGTATGACCTGGATTCCATCGAGTTTGTGCACTCCAGGAGGACGGACAGCCTTGCAGTGGTTGCCTGGAGCCCGGCACTGGTGCTAGTGTCCTTCAGGGGCACCTCCAGCATCACCAATATCCTGGCAGACTTGAGGGCGTGGCTGGTGGTGCACCCGCCACCAAGGCGGGCACACTGCAGGCTGCGTGGACGTCCCAGGGTACACAAGGGCTTCCTGGACAGCTGGACGGCCGGTGGGTTCAACCAGCAGGTCCTGAAGCTCATATCCGATGTGCTGTCCCTTCCAGGCTATGACAGGTCGACCATGCGCGTGCTGGTCACTGGCCACTCGCTGGGTGGTGCGATTGCGCAGCTGGCTGCCTTTGAGATCAGCAGCACTCTGAAGGTGGGCCCCTGCCGGGTGTCCTGCTACACCCTGGGCTGCCCAAAAGTGGGGAACAGGGCGTTCGCATGTGAGTATCATCGGGCCGTGCCGGACACGTGGCACGTGGTGAACGACCTGGACGTTGTGGCAAGGACGCCGGAGCTGCTGTGGTACAAGAGGGCAGGGCGGCGGGTGGTGATGAATGCCAAAGGTGACATGATCGTGGAGCCGGTGTATGTCGAGTTCAAATTCCTGTCCCTGATGCCGGCCAAGGTGTCGGTGGCGCACCACCTCCTTGCGGGGTACAAGCGGTCGGTGTCTGCGGTGGCCAGTGCGCAGCTTGTGCATGGCAGGGGGATCCCTGGCCATAGGCTGGCTGTGCAGAAGCTCTTGAAGAAGGCCCACATAACCAAGCTGCTGGGGCTGACAGAGGCAGGGTCATGCGACCTGAACAGCTTGATCTGGCCAGGGAGGTTCAGGCGATCAAGGGGTCAGCTGTCCACACAGCGCTTGGCTTCTGAGACCCTGACAGACCCTACGTCCACGGTGGATGAGTTGGAAGGGGTGGGCATGGGGGACTGCATGTCGCTGCTCCACGCCTTGTACAAAGCAGTGAAGTGCTGGATCGCAGGTTTGAGGGGCATCGATTGTGACCTGGACTGTGACGAAGAGCAGAGTTTCGAAATGGGTGACAGACTTGGGGGTGGTGGGGGGAATGGGCCCACTGAAAAAGCAATAATCATGCCAGGAGTGGGCGTATGTTTGTACAAGGGGTGATGCAGCACACAGGTGTGACAGCCCTGTCTGCCATTTTGACTGTAGTTTATGACAATTTTGGCCTGTAATGGTTGCATTTGATCAAGAATGAATCCCACTCAAGAGTGCTGGACAACACTCGGTGATAGAACTAGACAGTGGCAGTTCAAGGAGGACTCCCAGGAACTCTTTGACACTCCGCAATTGGCAATGCCACGTGTAGGCAGAAAGCAATGGCTTGGGCAGATGCAGTGGGCATTAAGTTTGCATTGGAAGGGCCCCAACATTGTCGTGTGTGCGAACACATGTTGCACTGCAAACATGCACGTTAGATGCTCCGGCTTGCTCACAGTGCCACACCACATTGTGCCCACTATATCTCTTGGTACAAGGAAGAAATGGCCAAAACAAAGTCTCTCTTCGGTGCGCACAGCGAAGGCTCTGATTTGATTTGGCTCTGTTTTGATTTTATACCCAACGGACACAGTGTTCCCTGCCGTCCCTGGAAACCAATCCTTGTTTCGATGCTTCAGCAGTATTTAAGAACATTTCCCAGCAGCTAACACAATGCAGAAATGGTTCTGGGCAGTGGACAATGGTGCCGAGAGATTGGCAGTACACCTTCCGGGTGCGCACACCATGCGCAACAGGGCTCCACCGATGCTGGCCTCACGGCTCACACAAGGGAGCAAGGGCTGCCCCCTTTGCATCTATGGCCCCTGTGCAGCGTCAGCAATGCCATGCCATTCACACAAACTTTGGTTTCAAAGTTTGACTGAACACGAATAGATAAAAAGAGAAAAAATAGGAAACAAGAATTACGCAATGAAATATAAAGAAGCACAACATAACAAAACAGCACGCGAACAAATAAACAAAACAATATCCACAGTGCAAACGGTGGTCCTTGTGAGGCGCTGACGCACGCGCCTGGTTCGTGGAATTCTCAGCAGTGCAAAAAGTGCTTGGGCCACTCAACGACGGACTCGCCAATCCCAGCTCGCCACACTCGCGCAGCAGCCTGTGAGCTGACAGCAGCTGCGCGACGTTGCCGCCATCCCGCCCGCTCCCGTGCGCCTTTAAGCTCCACACCCTCATTCCTTCCCCCACCGCCTCCACTGCGGGGCGGACCGCCGCTCCCGGCGCCTCGAGGCGCCCCAGGCATGGGCGGCAGCGGGCGGCAGCCGTCGGATGACCACCGGCGGAGGGATCGCGACAGGCGCAGCAGCAGCGCGGGGAGGGATTCCAAGCACTCAGTTTGGAAGGGAGGGCGAGACAGGTGGGTACAAGGAATGTCGCCTTGCCCAGGGCCGCGAAGAGGGCCAGGCGAAGCAGGGGCGTTGGGCAGGTCTGGTCCTGAGAAAAATTGTGGCCGGAACTCTTGGCACGGGGTGTGGATTGTGATCTGGAGCCCGTCGAGCGCGGCTGAGTGATTTGAGGCAATAAATGGAAAAGGCCAAGTGCCAAAGTCCCGGAGGATGGATTCCATGGGCGGAGCTCGGAGCGGCTGCGTCGTTGGAGCTGCCTGTTCGCCCCTGCGTCCGTCGTATGGTTCCATGCCACGTGTGTCAGTGCATCCGAGCCCTTTTGCAGGAGGGAGCCTGGTTCGGGCGGCCTCGCAGGCCCATCCGCAGCGCGCACTGTCCTCGTCCAAAAGGCGAACCAAAAGGAGCCAAGACTTGAGGCCTCGAGGGTGGAAAGCGCCATTGGGGCCTCGGTGGCCGTCATGCCGTTAACGTGCCGTGTGGGGCGTCCCTGACGCACCATTTTGCAAAGTTCGCGTCCTGGGAATGAACTTCACGTTCTGGGGCGGGCCAGGAAGCGATCGCGCAGCCCGGAGCGCCGCCGCCGAGGCTCCGAGGATCGCAGCAGGAGCCGCAGGCGGGGCGAAAGGGATAGGCTGGATGCGGGGGGCCGGGCGGCTGGCAGGGACTCGCGGGGGCGGTCCGGCGGGAAGGAGCGGCGATCGCGAGATGACGGCTGGGAGAGGGCCCGGAAGGCGTCGTCGGAGGGCGGCGGGGCGTCGGCGAGGCAGGACGACCCGACGAGCAAGCGCGCCAGAGTGGGGCACCAGTCGGCGTCGCCGAGATCGGGGGAGGTGCGATGGGGCGGGGTCAGTCGCGGGGGGGCGGATCCCCAGATATATATCTGTGGCCGAGTGCTCGCCTTGTGATGGGCGTTGATTGACTGGTGGAGGCTTTTTACCCTGGAAGGGGAGTGCAAAGTCGCGCCTTCTCCCTGCCCTTCCTTCCAAAACCCTCACCCTTGCCACCCACCCGCTCCAACAACCACGTGTAGCCCACCTGTCTTGATCGGAACCTTCGGCAGGCAGGTCTGCAGACTGAAGCGTGTGGAAGATTTAGCTGAATCTCCAAGCCCAGCACTGAAGTATGCAACTCGACGAGTTGTGCATGGCAGCCCTGGTACTGGGTGGCAGTGTGAGGCTTTGTAGAGGCGCACAATGCACTCCTGCTGGCGCTGTCGCACGAGAGTGGGAGATGCCACCTTGGGAGGCATCATATTGGGATGCCTAACAGCAATCGACGCAGCTTATGGTATAAGCTCATTTGCCCATTGGTGCTCATATATGTAAGAAATGTGTTGCACAAAGTGCCCATCTCCTCGTGAATTGTCTGAAGATTGGGGTCCTCTGCCCTACTTTCATACCTTGGAGGCGGTCAGCGGCACTGGGCATTGATTATCTCAAACAAGAGGGGCAGGGCACTGACACGCTGAAGAGGTGTCTGAAACCTTTTGGATGCAGATGCTGATTTTGGAAACTGAACAAGACACTCATAAAGCAATGGTGGAATAGCCCACAGGTTAGGAAATGTATATCTCTGCCGGGAGAACCATGGGCATGGTGTCTTTTGTCAGGAGCAGGTGAATGTTCCCCACGGCACCAGATCTGAAATCCTACTTTGTTCTGCCCAAATTACAGGGTCGCTCTGCCAGGCATCCAGTACCCACAAGGCTGCTAAGTTTTGGGGATGAAGTGGAGGAAGGTTCAGACACAGACGACTTCAGCCTGGCACGAAGCACAGCTCATCGTTTTGCACATGAGAGAACTCTTGTGCTATCCACACCCTTGGATTATGAAAACCAAGGACCTCAACTGTCGATGAAGGATGTCAGCATATCTAGAGAGTCAGATGTTATGGGTAATGTGAAGCCTTCCCTCAGTGCCATCTATTTGGGCGCTCATCAGGTTTGTCCCTTGGAGATTGCTGTCGGACTTACAATGTTGTTGTATGGTGCAGGTTGCAATTACGCTGTTGTTGCATGTACTGCACTGCATCCTGGAATGTACTGTGCTTCTTTCAGGAATGTGTGCTGAATATTAGTACTGAACTGCCAAGTGCACTTGTTGGGGCTTGTTGGAATGTAGTTCATGCAGTTGCGCCAATGTGGTTCCTGAGCGACCTTGGTTACCCTTCAAAGTGCAAGGGCTACAAATTGACCATGTAGCGCCAACGTGATGTGTGCTTCAGGGCTGGAAGCCTTGCAGTTTGAACCTGCATTGATTGTGGATGGAAGATGTCTGGTTCATGAGCAGCCGCAGACATGTTAGGTGTGCCTGAGAGGCACACAGAAGCATCTGTGACACAATGATCGCATTGGAAGCCAGCATCATGCAAGACAAAGTGTGTGAGATTGATTACCGACGATCTCTGTTTTGGAAGGTTGGCGTCCTGTGGTGGCGCCAGCACTGTCAATTTCGTTGTGTCAATTCTCCATATCACCATTCAGCAGCTACCTGTGGCATGATCTTGCCCCTGCCACATTTGTGTGCAATGGTGCGCTCCTTAACATTTGTTTGCTTCCTTCCTGAGTTCAGTGCTCCCCCCATCACTGACATCCAGCACTTCCTTTGTGGCTGTTTGTGGCATAGAGCAGGGGCCTTCGTCCTTACATGGAAGACCGCTGCTGCCTGGTGCCAAATTTCACGCCAATGTCCAGGGGCGCCCCTGTGGCAGATGGCGTCTCGCGCTGCTTTGTGGGCATCTACGATGGCCACAACGGGGTCATGTCTGCTGACATGGCAGCGGCACGGCTGCACCGAATGCTGGCGGACGACCCCGTAATCCGCATGCACACAGGTACACAGGATGGGCATTGACAGGAAAAGAGTGTGCTTGGAAGATTGGCGATCTGGTCGCTCATGGTGAGGTGTCAGTGCTTGTGTGAAAACTGTCGCCAGGGTGTCTTCTCAAGTGCACTAGCCGCAAGACTACTTGTCCTTTTGTTGCTTTATTGCACATGTGAACCCGCAGAGCTTGTTGCATGGATGGATACCTGCTGCTGCACAAATCTCTCACTGCTCATGGGAAGATATTATGCTGTTTGCTTCCTTGATGATGGCATTTCAATTCGCAAAGTCATGCCAGTTTACCTAACATAGGTGATGCAATGCAATACGTATGGATCTGGGCTTGGGCTGCAATTCTTGCACAAAACACGCACACATGCCATCCAGGGACTGTGAGTTCCCCATCCATCAGGGGATGGCCCCTCTGAAACTATTTGTAGTCAGCAGCACACGCCCTGGCTTGGAGTGGCTGAAACTCTTTCCTATGCCAACAACCATATATATGATATGAAACAGAAAAACTTCATATTCAGTACGTGTGATTGCATATGTGCACATGAACAAATCATACTTGAGAAAGCCATACACAAGGAAGTGACGGCCAAATCGTTTGCATATGTTCATTCTTCGGATTTCCATTCTGCCAGAGAGTACCTCTTGTTTTCCAGCACCCTTTCAGTCAAGTTTACAAACTGCCAAGGAGTTGTGAATGCAGGAAAGAGCGCCTCAACGTGGGTGGCAATGACACCTGTCCTTGGTTTGTGCCCAAGGGGAGGGGCCGCCTGCGATTGTGAGGGCTGAAGAGGAACAGATCACAGAGGCGCTGAAGAAGGCCTTCCGCACACTGGATGATGAGATTCTGGGAGAATCCAGGCAAGAGGAAACTCAAGATGGGGCGACAGCACTGATGGCCCTGACAGTAGGTGAAGCATTGTACATGGCGCATGCAGGTGAGTGCCGCTGGAGGCTGTTGTGATTTGATTGTAGATACAAAATTGCCACTAAAGTGTGCAAGTTGTGCTCTTTGAATCCTATTCTTTTTGAGTAATATGTCGAGCCTGATAGTCCTGTGTCACAGGCTTTGAATACAAACAATGCACAGTGGTCTTTCTGTCCCCCATGTTTGTCTGCTACTGATCATGCTTGTGGAGTTAAGATCACCTGCAATGGTGCGGAACACGCTCAAAACTCCACAGGAAAGGGATGCCGTTTATCGTAGCTTGTCTCATGTAAGCGTTGTTGGTGAGGTTCATTCAGCGAATGGTGGATGGTGTTCAACCCCCTCTGGTGTTCACCCTGATTTGGCACCACTTTTGGTGGCATCTGACAAATGCCTGGATTCTCTCTCATGGCGTCCAGAAAGGGCACAGATTGGATCACAGTCAGGAGGATAACTGGTTGGCTCCATCTCCTGCATACTGCACTTTGCAAAGGGTTGCCCCTTCTGAACAATGGTTGGGTGTTTCTCCCCATGCTGAGCATGGCGGTCCAATGGGCGTCCAGTCTGTCCAGTCTGGCACATAGCAGCGCGTTTGCGCCATGTTGTAGCATATACACCC